TGTTGGGTGTGTGTGATGACGTCACTGGTTTTGTAGAGAGACGCTGCAGAGATGGCGCGGATAACCCGGGTGCCTTAATTGTGTATCTGCATCATGGAAGACCCCTTCAATGTGGAACGATTCCTAGTCAGTGTCGATGTTTGCACTGCTGTGCCTAACACAGATGATCTGGATATATTCGGGTGATTGTCAATTGCAATGATGGCTTAGACTAGGTTGGACGTTCTTCTTCATTGTATGTCCACAGGCTCATTCTGACAGCACTTCAGGCAGCAGCTCCATGCCCCGAGCTTGTGTACCATGCACCATGGTGTTATTATTGTACAGACAGCACTNGATGGCTTTGGTTGGTTGTTCTTCGTTATTGGATGTCCACGGACTCATTCTGACAGCACTTCAGACAGCAGCTGCGTGCCCCGAGCGTGTGTACCATGCACCAGGGTTTTATTATTGTACAGACAGCAATTCAGACAGCAGTACGCCGTAGTCGACAAACATTCATTTTGGTTGAGAGCGGGACAAGGGGGGTGGTGCTGCTGCTGTAGTCGAATTGTCGTGTGTGGGCGTGTAGTTCAGTTGTGAGGACGCAAACGTGCTGCAGGAATTGTAGGTGTACCTCCTCGGGCTTGTGTACCCGTTTCTTGCTAATAGTGTGGGTTCTTTAGATCTTCTGATGGCTCTAGTATTTTTGTGACCACGGACCAATTCTTTGCTAGATTTTGGGATTAGAAACTGACACGAGCTTAATGTGAAGAACACAACAAACAACAACAACCCACAAAGCTGAACCCGGATTTTGTCGACCCAAAAAACTGAAGAATCTTGGTGTATAAAAAGCCGTATTTTTGCCCATCCTGAAAAGTGGAGGTTATTGAATCCAGTTGTAACACAATCAGTATAACAGCACTGCTGTTATGGTCGCCTAAACGCTCAAAAAGCAGTTTTTGACTTGCGCATGTATGTAGAGTAGGGTACACAGCGAACAAGTGGTACGAAACAGGAGAAATGCGAGCAGAGGCGCTCGCTCTCTTTAAATAGGTTTACTGGGCTGTGCATTTAACTGCTGTATAGATATGGACATAAGTCAGCCCTGGCTGACTAAGTTTGGCCACGGCTGGATAGAAAACCCTTATAATCTCCCGCTCTCTTTCTCCCCGAGAAAACACTACTTGGAATGTGTGGGCGTCGGCCAATGCATCCGAAAGAAAAGGTCGCGAGTGATTTTGCTACACGAAATGACTACTGCTGTGAGCGGTCCGAGGGTTAAGGGATTTACTCGATCGTCTCGATTGGACGGCGTGTATGTGCGTCATTAGTCCACGTGTGCATCGGTCACAACCGCAGAGTACCTGCTGTACACATACATACATCCGATCCGTAGAATTGGCCGATTCAACACGAAGTGTTGCAAAGGAAATGATATGCATATATCCCGTGAAAGACGGACAAAGCACAGCAGAGCGCTTCGGGCAACTACAACCAGCATTTCATTGTTAGTAGACTCGGAACCAGGGACACCACACGAATAGCGTGGACTAGAGCGACCAGCCTGCGGAGAGGCGCGTCGCGACCGGAACAGAATGAATCATGTTGAACCTGATCAGCTGCTGTACAAATACTGCTGTACGCAGCTCGCAGCACCGACCGCAGCTGGGATCTAACCCACCGCCGTCGCAAGGAGTTCCTCTCTCCTCTTACAGCAGTCACCAATACCCTCACCGCTGGAAGAGGCCAGCACTCTGGTGTTGCGGCTGAGGTGCTGATGGTTAGAGATCAGCCGACATCGCAGTAGCAGCGGTGATGAAGGAGCTCCCCTCCTCGCCCGGGGCGGAATGGAAACATGCAAAGACTGGACGCCAGCGAGCAGCAGAACGAAAGCCGAAGCCACCACTCTCATTGATGGGCCTTGATTCCTGTCGCTGCGGCGCAGCAAGACGACAGACGAGGCGACGAGGCGAGTTCGGGAACTACGTGCACATCCGCCCATGTGCCATGCAGAAGTTGTGCCGCAACAGCCCCCCCCCCCCTCGTTATTTTGAATTTGTTTTCGGCTTCGGAAGTGGTGCTAACCTCTCTTCTTACCGCCGTCTCCCCCACTGTCGGCGCTGTGGCCTGGCAGGCTGGTGTTGGGCCCGTCAGCTGTCAACACTGCTGTCACACACCACGCCCTATCTCACACCCAGTACGAACAACGAGAACAACAACAAGGTTGGTTGATGTAGCGATCGGACAACAAGTTGGGAATGCACTGGCAACGTGTGTAGCAGTTGGAGTGGCGAGACTATATGTCGGCGTTGTTGGTGAAAAAAAAGTGGTCGAATGTCAACTCTCTATACGACCCTTGTTGAATAGGAGCATGCGTCATGACATTTTGCCATAGTACAGGCCTACGCCGCCCGTATTACGCGGAGCCGTGGGTATGGCTCAAAGCAGAAGCGAGATTATCAATGGATATGGCATTTCTTGGAGAAAGGGAATAAGAAACTTGACACGCCACCCTCGCCGGCGTGCGTGCATGATCCGTACACGAAGTCATTCTGCAGTTTTCCCGCATTGTGGGCGCGATAGAGCACGTGAGCAAAGTACTCCATGCAGTTGAATGTGTGGCAAGTGGCGGTGCATGCCAGACTCCCGTAGAGGGAGAGTCATTAGTTGCAGAACAGCCCTTTTTTACTTGACAGTGATGTTCGCTTGAGAGGCTCTTCCTACGTTCTCCCTGCTAACACACGAGCTGTGCGGCATATATGCCGGGCCGTTTGTTAGAGACGGAAGACGGAAAGCATCACAACGACCCGATTTGTCCCGCCGCACTTTCTTCATCTTCCGACGCCGCAGGGAACAGGAAGGACACAGCAGGACAAAGGACCATGTCTGATTCTGGGTCGGCGAAGACTGTGTCTGTCGCCGTAGGGGCAGGGCTTGCGGCTGCCGGCCTTGTGGTTGGACTCGCAGGCCCGAAGGTGGTCGAGAAAATCCTCCTCAAATTGAAGCCCGGTGGCAAGTTCAGCGGGGTGAGTTGCTACCAAGCAGCGGACACCTTGGTTCTGTTGGCTCGCTTCACGTTCCGATCCCACAAGATAGCATACATTACCGCCGCCCTATCATCGCTGCACCCTTTGCGGCCTGGCCCCTCCACGCCTCACCGAGTAGCTGCAAGGCCTCCTTTTTCATGGGGTAGATGCCTTAGCGGGGTCCGGATGTGGCGCGTCGTGGACGATATAATATGCCCTTCATAAGCCAGGCACCGTTTAGTTGTGTGGACAGGACAGGGTCTGGATACTTTGCGTCATGGGCGATGTAATTGCCCTACAAAGTGTTTGCTGCACGTAGCCGTTGAAAAACACAGCTGCTGCTGCTGCTGCTGTGTCATGTTTCTGCCACGAAAGTTTGCTCAAACAGCCGTTATTACAGACTGCGGATGGTGCCGTTCCGCGTTCCGTGCGATGAGGAGCATGAACATTGATATACTGACGGGCACACACCGCGACTACTAGCGCGGGGAGGTCTTCCTCGCCCGAATTCTGATGGTGCTTCCTCTCGAAACAACCAACCGATTGTTCTGGGAGGAGTTCTCGTCTCGCTGTTGCACATATCACCGTTCTCACGTTTCGTCATGGCCGTCTTCATAGAGGAGCGCTGATGTGTTCACGTTGCATCGAAACGACCCAATACGATACGGATGGTAGGCCGGAAGGCCGTGACAAGATTGAGGCCACCTGCTTCATCCCCTCCCCCTTTTTCTTTTAGTCACTCTATTTCGACCCTCGTCCGCTGTTTTCTCTTCTCGAAGCCTTATAGCAGCAGTTACAGCTATGTGTTGTTCGTACTGTTCAGACCCCCTTTCCAATCAACGAGTTTCGGCTGCCTTATCACCCTTGCTGATGCACCTCTACAGATGAACAAGCCAACGGCAGGGGCTAGAACGGTCAAGGAACTGGACGTCGGCACCCACCCCCTACAGCTGTACTCTATGGCCACGCCGAACGGGCAGAAGGTCACCATCGCGCTGGAAGAGATGGGGCTCAAGTACGACGCTTGGTACACGAACATTATGTCGGTGAGGAGTATGAGACTTCTTCCCTCCCCGTCGTTTGGTGTCCGTCCGTGTTGTTGTTGGTGTTGGTTGGTGTTTGTCGTTGTCGGTTGGTGTTGTTGTTGTTTAGGTTTCGATGATGCAAAGCGTACCCAGCAGGCGAGAGCGGGTGGTTCTGAGGCCAAGAAGCGAGGTAATACGCGCATGCGAGGGTCCTTCCAGTGTATTGGCGCCGGTGCACCTAACTACGCTTGTGTTACATACCCGCCACAACCTCTAGATTTTAATGACTCGACTTCTACTACAACCCCTTTCCTGAGATTAATTTTCCGCGGCTCAAGCACATTTAATCAGTTAGAACTACTGATACCACGGTTCCACACACAGCAGCGTACGGCTCGGAATACTGAACGAGCTCAGAAGGACTTCAACCAAACCGCGTGTGACACGAGGTATATATACGACAGGTCCTCTCTCTGATGCAATCGAAACCTTGGAAAACAACAAAAAATGTTCATGTCTGGTCCCCCTATTGATCTTTGTTTCCCTACTCGTTCGCGACGTCTCGCGCTCGCGTAACCCTGGGTTCGCCGGTGTCTACGGCCCTTCGCTCGGAAGGGGGACCAATTCACGTCTGGCTTCGTCAAGGTCAACCCCAACTCCAAGATCCCGGCCCTGGTGGTCAACGACGCGCCGGGCGGCAAGGTGTGCGGGCATGTTGCGGTTGCGGTTGCGGCATATCGTCACGGCAGTCGCTCTCCCTCTAATCGTTTCTCTTTGTCTGTCTCTGTCTGCCTGTTTGTCTGTCTGCTTGTCCCTCTTTCTCTTTGTCTCTCTGTCTCTCTGTCTCTTTGTCTCTTTCTGGATTCTTTGGTTTGCGCTGACGGGCGCATTTGTCGCACGCCGTGCCTCCTTTCTCGTGTGTGTCGATGTAGGCGGGTAGCGCGGTGGGTCTTGAAACGCTTGGCTTGGCCCACCATTGGCTCGTTTGGCTACGCTGCAGATACCGTTGTTCATTCGTCTCTTGATGCTGTTGCCGCGATTTATTTTTGTCGTCGTTCACTTCGTGATTTTGCCACTGCCACTACACAAACATTATTCTCAGTCTCGTTTGTACTTCCCACCACCCTCCTGCATATTTGCAATAAAAAAACACGTTTATATTTCTTCGTTCCCGTTCCGCCAGCCCCTTCACCTCTTCGAGACCGGTAACATTCTCTTGTACCTCGCCGAGCGAAGCGGCAAGTTCCTCCCGATAGACCCGGCGGCGAAGGCGGAGTGTCTCAACTGGCTCTTCTTCAACGTGAGTCCTGTTGGTTGCGTGGCTTCTTGAGCGTTCATTTTTCCATCCATCGCGGGCGTCGTTTTGTTTTGTTTGTTGCCTTTCTCCCGCTGGTGTTGGCGGCAAGTTGCTGGTGTTGGTGACGACAGCTGTGGCGATGGTTTTCCCGCGGTATTTTCCCGCGGTCCTTGCTGGATGCTTGCCATCCATCGTCGGTGTTTCAGTTTGTCGGCCTGTCTTTCTGATGTTTGTCCCAACAGCAGTAGTGGTGGTTTTCCCCTGGGTTATTTTCCCGCGGTTCTCGATGCTTGCCTCCCGTCGTCAGTGTTTGATTGAGCTGTCTGTCTTTCTGATGTTGGTGACAACAGCAGCGGCGGTGTTTTTTTTCCCGTTTTTTGTCTACGGTTGGTGGCGGTTGTATTTCGGTTGTCGGTGCTTGAACGGCTTGTTCGTTGGGTATTGTCCTCCGTGTACGCGTCTGTTCTGCACCTGTCGGGAAGGCTTAACTGGGGGAGGAACCTACACCCAAAAAACAACGTCTGTCTTGTCCTATCTATCCATGGGCCATATACTGCGTGGCCAAACACGCCTTCCGCGCACCCCTAGATTGTCCGCACTGCTGCGGCAATTCATTTCCGCAAGGCCAGGCTACCAATGCATCGAAGCTCTGCTGGCGCTGCGGCTGCGTTAGCGTCTTGAGTGTGTGTCGCGCGGCTTGCGAGCCAGAGTCCACCTTCCGGCTTGCCCTGCCTTCTTTACCGCGGACCCTCGGCGGCTTTGCGTTCCTTTGGTGACACCTTTGTCCGGGTACTGTGTTGTTAGGTCGGCGAGGCTCCGTACTTTGGACAGTTCGGCCACTTCACGAGATATGCTCCTGTCAAGCTCGACTACGCCGTCAACAGGTGAAAAAAACTAGCGTACATTTCCCCACCTTTCGCCATGCGTCTCTTGGCAATGGCTGTGTATGCAAGTCGAAGTCTTACTCGCGCACGTTGTTGGGCGAGCTGTTTCTTGAAGCGCGTTTGCGGGATGGCTCGAAGATCTTAGCCGGTTGCCCCGTATTTGGATGAAGCGAGAACGACGGCGTAGCGCCGTACCATACCAATCCCTCTGAAACTGTTGAGACAGCACGCCCACGGATTCTCAACCCCAAACAGGAAGCAACGAAGATGTTTTTCTTCCACCCACTGTAGAGACTTCGAGACATCCCTTTCGACTGTGGTGCTACTAATATCACGAACGGGTTATAGTCTTTCTGCGTCTGTAAGTAATTTTTCGGAACACCTTCAACGTGCTTGTCTTTTAAGCCAATGGCGACGGTGCGTGAAAATGCCCTCCGGAAGGCATTGATTCGTTTCAACACACACATACTCACCGTTTCTGTCTTTGATCCGGAGAATAGGTTAGTCTCCCCCATGCCGCCCCCTCACGGGGTCCCAGTTAATGGCATTTTGAAGTGTTTTGTGTTTTCACCCGCACTGAGACTGAAGTCTTTTCGTTGGTCAGTCGGTTCGCGCGGTCGGTCGATGCTATTAACACACACTCACTCCTCGAAATTTGCTTTCTTTCTTCGGGCTCAACCATGCCTGAGGCCAACATGCGGGCTGCGCCCCAGGTTGGCTCGACCTTCAAGCGATCA